TGCTGTTTACCATTCATTTAATTAGTTTTCTGTTTATTTATATATCTATTTATTTGTTAGTTGTTGAATTAGTTTTATTTCTTGATTTGGTATTTATATAATTATTTACTTATTTATTTGTTTATTTATTCATTCCTTTTATTCATTTATTCATTTATTATTTATTCCTTTCGGTAAAAAGAAAATTGAAGGAAACACAAATAGATTAAAAATAAAAAAAAATCTGAAAAAAGTAAAATCAAAGCAAAAATTAAATTAAAATAAAATTAAAATTAAATTAGGATGAAATTAAAGGTAAATTAAAATCAAATTAAAATTAAATTAAAATTAATATGAAATTAAAATTAAATTAAAATTAAATTAAATTAGAATTAAAATTGAATTAAAATTAAATTAAATTAAAATTAAATGAAATTAAAAATAAAATAATAAAATATTTTGTTTTGTTTGCAGCTCAGAAGATGTGGAAATGAATTTGACAAAAAATGCAGCAGAAACTATTTCAAGACTTCAGGTATTTTTATTTTTATTTTTATTTTTATTTTTATTTTTATTTATTTTTATTTTTATTTCTTTTTTATTTTCATTTATTTCTATTTATTTTTCGTTTTTATTTGTTTCATTTTGTTTTTGTTTTTTTTATTTCATTATATTTCTTTACATCATTTTATGTTCTTTTTATTTATTTTAATTCGTTTTTTATTTCTTAATTTGCTTCTCTTGCTTCATTTTCATTTCTTTTTTGTTTATTTTTACTTCTTTTGTAATTTTTATTTTCTCCTTTTTGTAATTTAATTACTTCTTTTCTTTTTTAGTTTATTTCTCTCTTTTAATTTCCTTTTTATTATTCATTTTTTCCCTTTGCTCTTTATTTTGAATTTTGAATTTTGAATTTTGAATTTTGAATTTTTAGCTTTTTTGTTTTTCTTTTGTTGTTTTGCTGCACTCTCACTATTTTTATTTATATACTTTTTGTTTGAAGAGTCAAAACCCTTTTATTTATTTATTTATTTATTTGTTTATTTATTTATTTGTTTATTATTTATTTATTTATTTATTTATTTATTTTCTTATTCTCTATTTTTCAGAAAGAGGAGAAAAGGCTCACTGCGGCCATCGGTCAGCTCGGAGACCTTCAAACCCTAAAACCTCCTCTTTAGGGTTGAGGGTTTAGGGTTTGGGTTTTAGGGTTTAGGGTTTAGGGTGTAGGGTGTAGGGTTTAGGGTTTGGAGGTTGATGCGATAGCGAGGCTCCAGTGA